AGGAGAACCAGTATTTGAACCAAGGTCTAGCATGACTCCAGAGCCTGACCCCATAATCACCAGGCACTAAATTGCTGGCCATAGAATCCTCTGGGTGGATGGGCCTCCTGATCCCTTACGTAGTGCTGTAGGTCCAGGCTTAATCTAGAGCTCAGCCACTAGAGGGCGCTGCCTCTCCTGCTGTTAATAGACACCCTTTGAATTTCGAGGAACCTGTGGGAGCTGGCTCTTCTCTCCCAGGGATGGATGACTTCTTGAAGAACCCAGAGCCTGACTCCAGCTTGTTCTTGGGCTGTCCTTCAACCCCTTTTAATTCACACTTGGCCCCAGGCCCCAGGTGTCCCCAATGATGGGGATAGAAATGCCTTTGCATGAGTTTACGGCTTCTCTGGGGGAGGGAGTCGAAGGGTAGGAGGAGCCTAGTAGTGAAGAGCCAGGACTCTGTAGCTACACTTCCTGGTCCTCCCCACAGTTTCCTCACTTCCTGGCTGTCACTTCACCTCTCTGCGCCCCACTTTCCTATCTGTAAACAGAAGATAGCACCACTCACCCTGCGGCGTTTGGTGAGCCTCGTTCGGGATCAAGCGTGTGCGGGTGCCGAGCACAGTGCCTGGTGCACCACGGGAGATCTGGGCAATTGGTAGTTCCTCCCTGTGGGCCCAGACTCCTCCGCCAGAGGGAAGCACCAGGCCCAGCCAGCTCTCGTTCCACTCAGAGGCCGCACAGCACTCGGAGGCAGGAGCAAAAGTCACTCATCACCCTCTTGCCTCTGGTAGCCCTGCGTCTGAAGAAGCCCAGGTTCTGTGAGAGCCTACCACTGCCTGGCAGGAGGCCCCCAAATGTCCCTCCCTTGGTGACACCTTTCAGTAGCCCTCAGCTTTTCCAGGCCCAGAATTGTTCCTAACCTCTGACTCCCTTCCCTCCAGCCAGAACGGAAATCTTTTTTCTCCAACCCTCCCAAGGAGTTAATCCTTCACCAAGCCCTGTAGATTCCACCTCCTGAAATCAGAGGGCTCTGGAATGAACAGACCTGAATCCTGGTCCTGCTACTTATCATTGGTGTAACCCTGGGGCAAGGGCTGTAATTCTCAAATCTTGGCTCAGCCATTTATTCATTATGTGACCTTGAGCAAATTCCTTAATCTCTCTGAACCTCAGTTTCCTCATCTATAAAATGAGGACAATAATAGTACTTATGTCTCAGGGTTGTTGTAAGGATTAAATGAGGTAATATATGTAAAGTTCCTGGCACTTAGAAAGTGTCACGGATTACCAGCTGTGTGATTTGGGGCAAGTTTTTTTTTTTTTTTTAAGAGTTTTTTAAAGAAAAAAAGATTTTTAAAGGAAAAAAAAAAAGAGTTTTTTAAAAAGGAGTTCACAAGCTGTTTGTACCCGGGTAGTTTTCTCATTCATAAGTGGGCATAATAATTGTGCCTATCTCCTAGGATTGCGGGGATTATAGTACCACAGGAGATCATGGATGTAACATGAGTAGCGAGTGCCTGGCAAAGAGTGTTGTGACTACCACTTACTGGGCACTCACTCTTTGCCAGGTTTTGCACCTGGGTTTGTGTGCTTGCATGGACATTGCTACAAGCCTTGCCAGTTGGGAGTAAACCAAAGCCACAGTAACCAAGCCCAAGAGGTCAGAACAGTGAACTCAAGCCACCTAACTACCTTGTTTGGGAGGAGGATTGGCAACCATTTTACAACAGGGGCCTGGGGCAGAAAGGAGGCAAACTGCCCACTAGATAACCACACAGGTACAGTTGGGGGGAGGGGGGGAGGGAGGGTTTGTTAACGCCCACTGTGGTAGGGGAGGGGGCTTTCCTTGCCCAGAGACAGAGGAGAATAGGCTACTATTTTAATGAGCATGTGCTGTGGGGTGTGTGTGTATGTGATATAAGGGACTACAGTGGTGGTAGTGAGAGGGCTGGAGCAGAGAGCTGACTTTGACACCTGAGGGGAGTGGGCCTATGGATAGAGCCAGCATGTGGTAGTTATGGGATTTGAACCCAGGCACATCTGCCTCCAAAGCCCGTGCTCTTAATCATTATAATATTAATGCCTGGCACAGAGTAGATGCTCAATAAATATTTGTTTAATGAAGGAATTCATAATACTGCCTCTTTCTGGAAAGTTTTCCCCCTCCATCTCTACCTTGGCCCATCCTTCAAGGCACATCTCAAATGCAGCCTCATGCTCAAAGGATGTGCCCTCTCTCTGTTGCTATGGGGTGGGGGAAACAGGAGGCATTGGTGCTGGGATGAGGAAGTATAGGGCACTAGGATGGGCTAGCTGGGGTGGAACCGGAGGAAAGACTCTGAGTTTTGCATAGAGATTTTTCTCCAGAGTTTGTGCACTGGATTTGAAGTTGCTACGAGGACTGGATACACCCATAACAAAGTAACTCACACTGGGCTCTGATTAGTCGGAACAGGGAATTCTAAACACTTAGCAACCATGTGTGGGAAAGAAGATTGGAAGCCATTTCAGGGCAGGGGACTGGGAGGAAAGTGAGACAAAATGTCTGCCGGTGACCAACAGCAAGTATGCAGTAAGGGGGAGGAGGGGGAGGGAAAGTGAGAGGAGCTCATTTGGAGTTAAGAATTACTGCTCCAAGGGTTTTAGGGTCTTTAAGCCCCTGGGGATTTAGGGATTTGTAATTCTATGCTATATAATACCCTAAAACCAAGGATATTGGGATTCCAAGGATTTTAAACCCCTACAACCTATGGTATAAGGACTTGAGCAATTTTTGAGCTATGAAATGCTGGAAGCTTAGGACCCAAAACAAGGATTTTAAACAGAACACTGGACATGTTAAAATATTAATCCCCCTTAGACCTCAAATCAGTCTTGTTTTAACCGTTGGGGCAGTGGTTTCCAAATAGTCTTCCCCACAACCTAGGGATCCCTGAAGGTGCCTCACGGGAGGGGGTGGAGAGAGTTAGTTTACAAGAGAGAGGACACCAGGGTAAGAATTCTGCCTCCCCCATTGTGGCTTCCACGAAGGCAGCTGCATCTTTATTTGGTTTGTATATTGGGCCTCTGCATTCACTTCAAAAGAAAAGTGTTCCTGCTAAGGCACAAAAAATAAGTTTTGAAATATCTGTCCTAGGAAAAAGGGACTGGAGACCTGTAAAGAGTGGCCCAGAAAGCCACATTTGGCCTCTTGTTTCATTTTTTTTAATGGGAGACAAACACTGCAAAGATGCTTTGACTGGTAAACCATCAAATGGTGCCAGGGAGATCAGGTGGAGATGACTGACAAATTAGTCATTAGTTGAGTAAACCAGTCATTAGCTGACTCTAGCCTATAAGCTCATTTCTGTTATAAAATTAATAATAACCACTACTGCGACTACGATTACTATGACTACTACCATTTATTGAGTGCTTTTACTAGGTTCCAGGGGCTGTGCTAAGTTCTTTACATATATTATCTCATTGAATCTTCACACCGAGAGGAAGTATCATTATTTTCCCCATTTTACAGATGAGGAGACTAGGGCTCAGAGTGGATAAGTAACTTGCCCATACAGCTAGCACATGGTAGATTCCACTTTACTTACAAGCAGAAACAGAATGGACTAAAGGAATTAAAGTGGTCAAAGGTCAACTGCTTGGCAATATTAATTATGGAAAAGGTTAAATTTTGACCAATAGATGGCACCAGTGCGTGGGTTTGGTGGCCTGATCAAGGCTGTGTCCAATTCAGGGAAGTCCCAGCTGGGCTCAGAACTAAAGCAGCCTATCTCAAGTTGAGGGCAGAGGGAAAGAAGGATGGTCAGCATTTTGCTTCTGAATCAGATGACGTTACTCTGTCCTGTTTGTAGCTAAGCAAAGACTCGGGAAGCCAGAAGTGAGAGGACAGAAGTGGTTCTGCCAAGAACTGCTTTAAGAAGACCTAAGAATCTTTTTCCTTCAACATTTCTTGAGTGCCTCCTTTGTGCCAGGCAGTGTGCTGTGCAGTGAAGTCACACAGGGATATCAAACACAGCCCCATCTTACTGCATAGGAAGGGGGACAGATGCTGTGGTTTGAGGATGCACTGAATTTAATGGGGGCACCCAACCTGGACTTGGGGTCTGGGGAGGCCTTCTCACAGGAGAGGTGTCTGAGTACTCCTATTGGATGAATGGGAGGTTATCAGACATGCAAAAGTGGAAAGGTATTCCAGAAAGAGATTAAAGCCACAGAGGTGTTAGAAAGCATGACACATTCAAGGACAGGCAGCTTAGGCTTCAAGAGTTGTGAGGTGAGTCTGAAGAGACAGGTGAGAACCAGACAATTGGACAGACTAGAATATCAAGTGAAGGGCTTCATCTGTGAATATATGGGTAGAGAAGCCATAGAGTCTTAAGAGGACCTGTGATCAAAAAAAAAAAAAGATAAGTCCACCTATTGGTGAGGCAATGAAGAGCCATGGTAGGGCTTTGAGCACGGTCACAACATGGTCTTATCCGATGGCCAGTGTGGAGAATGAATTGCAAAGTGATGTGCTGGAGGCAAGAAAATTAGTTGAAGAGTAATTGGGGCAGGAGTTGGCATGATGGCCTGAACTGTGGTGGATACAAAGGGAATTGGGGAGGTAAAATTGATAAGACTTAGTAGCCCCCCAAGCCCCCCTTCCCACATGCACACACTCATCTCCAAGGCTCAACTGAGGCTGCACCTCTCGCCCCCCTCCCCCACTCACAGCCCTACTCCCAACTTTCAAGCTGCCCTTTGGGGGCCTTTTTGCTCCCTTTCCAAACTGTCTTTGAAGTTTAATCAAGCCTGATTTCACAAGTTGACGGAGAGGGCCTGGCCCTGTGCTGGTCCCCTGGCCCTACATCCCCATGGAGAAAGATTTGTCAACTGACCTGAGGTAGAACAATGAATTGTCCTTGGGCTGGTCTCTGACCCTCTGCCCATGGCTTCACAACAAGAGCAGAGTTCAGTTAAGAAATCAACACAGTTCCAGGAAAAAGGCAAACATCATCTAGTTTATTTTTCTCTTGATTCATCTCATGCCAATACAGACCCCAATGGATAGCAGGCAAAATGGGGGGAGGTCCCGAAAGCAAGCTGATTCTCTAGATGCCCCCTTCTCTTCCTGCAATGCCCATCAGAAAGGCATCCCAAATTTGCTTGGATCTGGTGTTGGTAACCCTGGAGGTGAAGCCAGAAGTCAGGGTTTCTATGGGGAGACAGGACTATGTGGCCACCTGGAAGGCTGGGGAGTCAAAGAGCCCTGAAGAGTGACAGTTCCCCTCTACATGGGCATGCTCTGTCCTGATCTGCTTCCTGGGGGCTTCAGAAAGCAGGTCGTTCTTCCCCTAGAGCTTCTAGGGCCCTCCCACTGTCAACACAACAGCAACCCAGACAATGAGATGCCAGAGGCCTGGGCTCACAGGCCACTTGGGTATAGCCAGGGTAAGCCGGTGACTCAAGGACCCAACTTTCAATCCAGAGAGCTGTGCCTGGTGATTCCCGGCTAATCGATGCCCTGGAGCCTTGCCAGGCATACTGAACCCCAGTCAGACTCTGACCGGCTCAGTTTGGACAGGTCAGGGGTGGGGAAGTAAGATGAGCTGTGGCCCTGTGTGGTGCTGACCCTGGTACCCTCACACATCCTTCTGGCCCCTTTTCATCTGCCTCCTCTTTCTTCTCCTCTTCTTTGTGCTCCTCCTCTTCCTCCTCCTCCTCTTCACTGTCTGAGTCCTCATACAGATTGATGGTTGCCTGGACAGGGAAGTGCTGCAGTAAAATCTCCCCATCAGTGTACAGGTAGTCATAGGAGCGGGATTTAGGCCAGAAAAGCCTGTGGACAGAGAAGAAACATGGCCCCTAACTTAGACAAGTCTCATATGTGCAGAGGGATCAGTAGGGTCAAGAAGGCAGCCAGCCTCTAAACTCCTTCTCCTACCTGCAGTAACGGGGTGAGAGGGAAAGGAAGAAAGAGAGCTTTGTAACAGAACCTTCTGAACAGTTACAAAATGGCCCCAGGCAAAAAGGTAATGTATGGTGAGCCTACAGCTGTGGGGAGCCCCAGCCTCAGCATTTATCAGTTCTGACACTGATCCTACCCCCACCTCAGTAGGCCTCTAGCCAAGAATTCTCTAGCTCTCTGTCCTCTGTCTCCTACTAAGGCTTCCTTCACTGACCCACCCATAGGGGCTCATTCTTAGGGGTAATTAGACAATGCCTCCAGGGAAGGCAACCCTGGCCAAGTCTCTTAACCTTTCCAGCTTCCAGTTTCCTGGTCTAAGGAATAGTGATTGTAGCAGTGCCTCCCTCCTCCTGCTTCACAGGGCTGCTGTGAGGAATTAAAGAGCTAAAGGATCTCTGTCAAGTTCGAAGGTTGATGCCCGAAGCTTACCTGACGGGGTGATGAAACTCGGAGTCAGCCTTCGTGACCTCAGCACCTGTTGCCCCACCAGCGGCCTGTCCAAAGCAAAAGCTAGCATGTGGCTCAAAGTACATGGCCAGATAACTGCCTCCTCCATATCAGGGGTCAGAAACCTGCAGGTAAGATGATCTAGAAGAGACCTTCGATATCTCTGGGGCCCAGGCCCTGCCACCCCAACAAGGGGGTCTGTCCTGGTTTTGGTTGAAAAACAAGTGGACAGAGTCCTGGGGGTTGTTTGCTTTTCTGTCTCTGTTCTGACACCTGTTTGGAGACTGTCCAGGGGACAGATATCTACTGGATCAGCAGAGATTCGGGAGTAGGGGTAGGGGAAGAGCATGGGGCCTAGGCGCCAGGAGACCAGGATTCTAGCACCAGCTCTCCCACAGACTAGCTGTGGGGCCTGCCAAAATCCCTCCCCCAGTCTGGGCCTAAGTCTCTTCATCTTACAAATTGCCACAGAAACCTCCAGTCTGCCTTCCTCCTACAGCTGTTGTGGGAATCAAATGTGTGCAGGCTGTGAAGAGGCTTTCCCAGATCTGCAGCCCTGAACTGAGGTCGGGGGCTGTCTGGGAAGGGACCTGGTCATTGTGAATGCACATGGCTGTGTGTGTATGTGAACATATGTAACAGGGGCTCAAACTCACCAAATCCACAAGTTTCCTCACCTGCCTTGGAGGGTCATTTGTAGGGGACAGCCAGGGCCTCCAAAGACAAGCTCCTCTGGGACAAAGAGGAGAGATCAGTCGGTGGAGGAAGAAGGGACTGGAACGTGGACTCCCGGAGACAACAAAAGAGGCCTCCAAAAAACTTGGCTCAGATGCCATCTACTCCAGGAAGCCTTTGCTAAGGACCCTGAGCCCTGGTCAGGACAGACACCCCTCCTATCTGCTTCAACAATGTTATTATTGCTCTTATCACACTGTTTTGTAATTGTCTGTTTACTTGCCTTTGCGCTTCTTAAGGGCAGATTTATGTTTGTTCGTATCTGAATCCCCAACACCTAGCACAATGCCTGGTACACAGTAGGCATTTCAGTAAATGTTTGTCGAACGTTAAATGTTTGGAGGAATGAATGAGGGTTGGATGGAAAATATCTTGTCTCCTACCTTCTGCTCCAAGAAGCAGAGCTCAGAGTCCTACCATCTTCCTGGGCTGAGGAAAGGGGCCAGAAATAATCCTGGGTCCACTGCTTCCCCACTAGACTTCCAGAGGTAGGAAAAAAGCAAATGGAAGTCGTATGGTGTGGTCAGGAAAGAGACAGTCCCCCAGTCAAAGGCCTCTTGGGACTCTGGCCCTCTTTATCCCCCTCTGCAGCCTAGGTCATGTTAAACCTAGGTGTCATGGTAATCTGCCCTGTGCCCTTCAATGGACTGAGCAACTTGGCCTATGAGGGCCTGGCTGCTCAGCTTTCAGCTTTGGCAATGCCCACTGTCCCCAAGTCCCCTCCTGCCACCCAGAAGGATTAGTGAGGTGAAAAGCCAGTTCAGCCTGAGATGTGGAGGGGGCACTCTCTGAGGGCTGTGAGGCCTTTGCCTTTCCCCATCACAGAGAACAAGGGAAGCTTGGACGTCTCATTTTCCTTCCTCTCCCAGGAACCCCACTAAGCCTGAATTCAGGTTGCCAAAGGCCGAGATCCACTTACCTTTCGCTCCCATCTGCTTCTTGTCCAGAGGAGAGAAGGAGTGATGGGTTTAACAGGCCAGGGAGTGCTGGGGGTGCCTGTGCTAGGGCTGGAGCTAGGGCTAGGGCCAGGGCTGGGACAGGGGCAGCAGCAGTGGGAGCAGCAGGGTCCATCCTTAGGGTGTCAAGGCCAGGCAGGCTGTGGGGACTCCTATTTCTCAGAACCTCCTGCACTCTTTTGGCCTTTCCTGGGAGACCCTTTTATAAGGCCTGCCTGGACTCATAAATTATTCAGGGATGTGCAAGGGTAGGGGACTTAGGAAGGGGATAAAGATTTAGGAAAGGGGCTCAGGGAGGGAGAGCTGGGTTCTTGGGTGTGAAATCTCTCCCAGTTGAATAAACAGAGAGTGGGTGGGGGGTGAGGGGTTTTCTTTACCTCCAAGTCAGAAAGGAAAACACAGAAGGGGCAAATCACACACCATTTGTGCGAATTCCCCAGGCAGTAGCAAGGCCAGAGGAGGGAAAGGAGGGAAGCTCATTAGCACCCGAAACCGCAGAAAGTTGTCAGGCACAGAGGGCTGGATAGATAGGCCTTGAGCAAAGCTGGTTCCCAGCAAGGAGGGACAGCTGGCCCGGCTAAGGAGCGTGAGGAACTCACGTTATTTCGGCTCAAACCCCAAATAGATTTGCCAGGTGAACCTGATACAGAGTGACTGCCATTAAGCATACCACCTGGGCTAGAAAAAAAGGAGGTTCTGAGTGGAGCAGTTTCCAGTTGCCTGTGGGGTAAACATCAAGTCTTCTGTGTCCACGCCCTCCCCTTTCCTGGCCAGTTTATTTGCAAAAGTGCCTGAATCCTCTCTCCAGCCTCAGCAGTAAGTGTTCCCGTAAAGGAGCACAGGCAGCATTTCCAGGGCTTCCAGGTCAGATTCCAAATCTCAGAGCTCAGCTTCCAGTCCAGGAGCCAGGGTGCTGGGGCCAGGCAGAGTTCTGCCCAGCTGCTAAGCTGTTGAATGACCGGCCCTGGCCCCGGGGCCTCAGTTCCCTGACATGTGAGAGGAGGGTGCAACCCAGTGGTCCCAAAGGGCATTGCTAGCCTGAACACTCTGTGATGGGAGGTGGGTAAATGGGTACTGACCCCGGGCAAGCCCAAGGGCTCAAGCACAGGCCTTGGCCTCAGCCAGTCTTCTGGGCCTTTGCCAAAAAGCTTTCAATTACAACTACTGACAGGCTCCTTATGCTTTAGAGATCCTGAAAATATTCCCCTTGACCTCAGTGTCCAGCACCAGCATGGATTTAACTCCTTGGATATTCATCACAGCCAGGTTTGTAATCGTCAAAAATTGGAAACAACCTCAACGTTCAATAGGAAACCAGTTATATTAATTAGGGTAAGTCCTTGCAACCGAATACTAAGCAGGCACTCACAATCGTGTTTTAGGGAGTATAATTATCAATACAGAAAGTGAAAAAAAATCAGATGCTAAAATGGTATGAAGAATTTGATTCAAGGACTCTTCTTTTCTCTGTTTACCTACCCCCTACCTCCACCCCACTTCCAATCCCAGTCCCACTGTGTTCTTTGTAGCAAAAGAAAATTGGAAATAAACTAAATGTCTCACTTTAGAAAGCTGGTTAAATAAATCATTGAACAGTTAGACAATTTCATGTTAAAATTGGCTTGGTAGAAGATTCCAGAAAAGTTAATATATTGAAGAGTGAAAAAAAAAGCCTCTACAGTATAACTTAGAGGTGATCCCATTTTGGTAAGAAAAAAAAAGTGTAGAATATGCAGTATACAGGGGGGAAAAAAAGGACTGGTTAGAAGAAAGGAAAATGTTACAGTGGTTAGTTACGGGAGTAAGATTATGATAGATTTTTACTTTCTTCTTTATGCTTTTCTGAATTTTCTAAAACATTCCACAAGACCTGATACTATTTGGGTAATAAACAGTAAAGACGCATAAAAATAAAAAGAAAGAAATGCTTATCTGCTGAGGAGAGAAAACTCTTGGGGAAATGACGGCCATTTTCAAATATCTGAGGATTAGACTGCACAGAGATTACACTTGTTCTGTGTGACTTCAAAGGCAGGGCTGAGGCCCACGGGTGGAAGCTACAGGGAGACACATTTTGGCTCCATCAAAGGAAAATTTTCTAACAGCCCAGCCACCACCTAACCCAGGGGCCTGGCACTGTACTGGCCCTCAATAAACAGGTTTATTATATGTGGTAAAATGAGAGAAGTGGAATGCGCTGCCTTGGACTGGGCCAAGCTCTCTGGCCCTGAACTGTGTAAGTGCAGACTGGATCCTGGATCCTGGAGAGGGAAATCTTGGGGGAGAGGGGGAAAGAGGGCTGCTGGGGAACCCGAGTTGCTATCCATCTCTGAGGGTTCTTGCCAAATTTACCTTCAGAAGATGAGAATTTGCTTGTACTGCATCACTAGCTCAAATGGGGAGTGAGGCTGAGAGAAGGAGCCAGGCTGAGGAGACTGGGCTGGAAGGAGATGGCTTATGAAGCAGACCTACTGTCACACCCTGAGATCTTTTTGACCTCTAGGTGGTCGTGGTCTCTGAAAATAGGCAGGATGGAAGAGGGAAAGGGAGAAGATGTAGACATTCCTCCTGAGCCCAGGGCTCCTGCCCAACCAGACCAACTGCTCTGTCTTGCTACCTTCTAAGAATTGCCTCAGCCTCATTCAGCTTGTGGGAAATGAAGCCACCGGCCCCTCTTGTTAGCGTCTCCGCAGCCTGAAGGATTTAAGGCCTGCAAGTGTTGCTGGGCAAAAAAGTGGGAAGCCGGCTGTTCTCCTTTGCACTCAGCACAGAATAGGAGTAAAGTGGCCAGCAGGGTGGCAAGAAAGGTCTGGAACAACCAAAACGAAGAACTTCCTGTCAGGGCAATCATGATCCTACCTCTGTTTCCCCTAACAGCCCTATAGTGCTTCTGGGTTTTGTCAGTGATTGCTTTGCCAGACCCTGCTGAGAGGGCTGGGTGCCTCCTCAGAGCCAGACGCTGCTGGGCATTGCCTGACAAGGGAATGCTCTAAAAAGAGGAAAGTGCTGCAGACTCTGCCTCAAGGTGTTTACAGCCTAGGGTGAGAGACCAGACCTGCACAGGGGAAGATGGACTCAACCTACCTCAGCTGGGTCCCGGTACCCCTCAGCCCCCCTTAGCATGTTCCCTGGTCAAATACCCAGCTCCAGCCTCCACATTTCCCTGGGCCACATTCCAAACTTTCTTCAGCTCCCTACCATGTTCCTGCCTCGCCCCTCTCCCTGCACAGAACAACCTCTCCTCCCACTTCCCTGAGAAAGCAGAGGCCTTCAAGCGTGAATTACCGCAGTGCCCTGCCCCACCCCCCAAAGATTGGCCTGCTTCTCCAACTTCCTTCCCCTCCAGCCCTCCCTTCTCAAGGGACAGAGTGCCCGTCTCGTTAAAGGCTAATCCCTTCACCTGGGCCTTGGCCTCATCTACCCTCCCTGTCTGGCCCCTTCCTCCAGACATTACGCCCCTTCTCTTCAGGAAAGTTCAGCTTCTTTATGTCGGCTCTTTCCCTATTATAAAATACCTGTCTCTGTTATCCCCTCAAAAGGCCCTTCTGTCCCCAGATGTGTTCTTCCGCTCCCCTAACTTGCTCTCTCTCTCAATCTCTTTCTCTCTCCCCCCTCCCTCCTTCCCTCTCTTTTTTTCTTCACTCTCAAATTTGTCGAAAGTAGAGTCTGCACTCTAGACTTCCACTTTTCCCCACTTCCCATTCGCACCTCAGCCTACTGAAATTTGGCCCCAGCCCCATCCTCCTAGTGAAAGGGCACCACCAAAGGTCACCAATGACCTCCTAATTGCCAAATTCAATGATCTCTTTGAACTCTGGTTGGCAAAAGACACTGTTGGCCAAGTCCTCATTTCTGAAACTCTCCTTCCTCTCTTGGCATCCGTGACCACTTTCTCCTGGTTTTCCTCCTACTTCTGGAACTGTTCCTCTCAGTCTCTTTTGCTGACCTCTCTTCTTCTGCCCATTCCTCAAATCTGTGGTTCTCAATTACAGTCCACAAATCAGGCTGAGACACAGTGATGTTTCCAACGGGTCACAGCAAAATGGGAAAAACATCAAAAGTAAAGTTTTTCAATAATCTAAATTTATTCAATTATAAAGGACTGTCCTTTATTCTGAGATTATGCCTTTCCCGGTTTTTTTTTTTTTTTTTTTTTTGGCAGCAAAATTTTCTCTTTTTTGAAATGATGACAATGTGGATTGTTAGTTAATTTCTTTAGTGTTCCTACTTGGCAAAATAAAATGTTAGTTTCTCTATGTCAGTCCCATTAATGTTTATGGAATGAATGAAAGACTGAGAATTATATTTCCAGCCTGAAATTTTCCCAATAGGTATCTCAAACTCATTCCAAAACTGAACTGTTTTTCTCCCCTACAAACCTCCTCTGTACCTACTTTGGTAACCAGAATCCTGTTGACCCAGTCACTCAAGCTAAAAACCTCAGCCACCAAGCCCTAGTGATTGTAGTCTTCACTATTTTTCACATTTGTCTCCTCTGTGCTCCCCCACTCTCCCAGTTGTTTCTTCAATTATGGCCTTACTTGTCCTCTCTCACCTAGATGCCTGAAACAGCTTCCAGATAGGCTCCCCTGTCCTTGACTTGGTCTTTCCAATCTACCCTCCTCACAGCCACCCCAGTGATTTTTCTAAAACACAGAACTGAGGATGGTCCTCCTGCACTTAAAAACATCCAGTGATTCCCAATTGCCTATAGGAAATGTCCAAACTCCTTTGTTTGTCAGATGAAACACTTTGCTGCCTAAGCCCAGCCTGCCTCTCCAGTCTTCTGCCCCCAGTGCCCTCCATACACCCTCCACTGCAGCTCCCCTTGACTTGACATCCACTCTCTAAACAGGCCATGGCCTTTCACCAGTAATCTTTTCAGGGTTTACATTCTCTGAAGGTCTTAATCTTGTATAGGGCTTATCACAGAGAACACCGTGAGTCACAACCAGTGGCAGGGCTTAAAATCAATTTAGTGGGTTGCAACCAGCATCTAACAAGATGAGTGAATAGTAAGTAGAAGAGTGAAGTACATGAATCACCTGTGGTAAGGGTATATATTGTTCTGTGACACTTTTGTTTTAGTCAAATATCTAGATCTAGATTTAAAGATACACAAATGCATGTACTAGGTCATACTGTAAAATACATTTCTTACTGTGGGTCCCAGTCACAAAATTTTACTGCACTTAAGGGGACTAGATGTTATTTTGTGATTCATTCAGTCAGTGCTGTTCATGTCACAGTCCTTGCTCTCAAAATGCGTCTACTCTCGCTGGGGAGTATAACAGAGGTCAGGAGAACTGGTAATGCCAGGGAGACTTCATGGAGGAGGGGGCAATTGAGCTGGCCTGGGCTTACGTAGGCGGAAAGAAGGGGAAACGTAATCCTGGCCGGGAGAACTGGCACAGACGCAGACAGTAAGAGTAGAGAACATTTGTTAAACATTTATGTACGAGGCACTGTTCTAAGCATTTTGCATGGATTAATTTAAGGCTCACAAACAACCCTATGAGGAAGATACTATTACAAGCCTCATTTTGTAGATGAGATTAAGGTACTTGCCCAAGGTCACAGAGCTGAAAGGGACAAGGCTGGGATTTGAATTCAGGTAGTCCCTGGGCTCTTAACCACTGCACCGCACTGCACGGCCACTGGGGGCCAGTGAAGAGAAGGGGCTGTCCAGGGAACAGTGAGAGCCTAGGCCGGCAGGAAACTGATGGGGGACGATCTAGAATGCCA